ATTGGGCGCCACCAGGGATGGGCGCCAGAGACCCAGGGCCATGGCCTCCTCCTTTTCGCTTAGCCGTTTTCTTGCTTGCTTTATCGTTTGATGGAATGGGGTTTGATGCTAGTGCGTGGATGTTTCTGGCCATGGTCATATGTGAATATTGCAGCACCAGCAACTCGAAAGCTCTAGGATGGGGGCCTGGAAAGTTCCACTGTCAGGCGTCACAACTCGTCCCGTGGCGTGGGTCTCCTTCTGGTACGGTTTCACTAAGCTCACTGAATCACCCTCATCCTCACTTTAAAATAAGAACTCTCTCTCTCTCTCGTTCCTCTGATAATACACGAATTTCACTGGTTTCAATTGAAAAAAAAAAACAACACTGGTCCTCTCAGTCAGTCGGAGGTCACTGGAAAAAAAAAGATAAAGAAACTTTTCACTTTTCTGTATTTGGTGTCTGGTCTGGAAAATGCCTTACAATGGTCTCCCTGCCAATGCTCCGGTTACGCCATGTCGCTGGCTAGAGCACTTTTAATCGACTGATGAACAACTTTGTGATGGACTCGGGCTGGTAGCCTCGGTCTCCTAGGCCATGCCACGCTACGCCATTGTTGGGCCAGGTAGGTAGGTGCACATTCGCTTCGCATCCCAACCCCTAAGCCGGGTGTCTCGGTCGATGGCTTGTGTTGCCAGGGGTTCGTCGTTCGAGGCCTATTTTAGGCGACGGAACGACCTGGACCGGACCGAACCGGACCCGATCCCCCATCCACCACCTCTTTGTGTGCAGTTGCAGCTGGCTCGGGTCAGGGCCTTTCTTCGCACTTGAGCAGTTTTCTTCGCCTTCATTTGAGGCTTCGCTCATTCAATTGCCATTACCTGCGAAATGGGTGTTTTTTTCTCGGCTCTTGTCACGTTTTTTTTTTGCTGCTGGCAATGCCGTGACACAGCGTGACGCAGACATTTATTCATAAGTCTGTCTAGCCAATAAAACTAGCAATTTCTTTCACTTTCCAGCGTTCATTGAACTAATTAACTTGATTATTGTGCATTTGCCGTCATGTATTATGCCCAAAACTGATTTTAATGCACGAAACCTAACGTGTTCACAGATTTAGCCACTGGCTTCGTCTAGTCCAGGGATGGTACATAATATTTATGTACATTAATACATCGATAAATATACACTTTATAAATGCTGTTTGCTTCGCGAAAACATATATATAGACATATAAACATATTTTTCTAGACACTTTTCGGAATTTAGAAATGAGAAAAAGACTACGACACTAGTTTTCACTTGTTTCCTTGTTCGCGGCCCGAGAAAGAATCCATAATGGAATAATGGATTTCCATTACGCGAAGCAAAGAGTACCCAATATGGCTGCTGTGGCGTTGCCACATGGGGCCGCCCCACTGCACAGTGGTTCGAATTGTCCATACTTTGGGACAAATTGTAACAATTTGCCAGAAGGGGCTGCAAGGACTGATGGAAGCAGTCGGAGATTTTAAATAGACATCTACAATTTTAAAGACACGAGAAAACCACATAGCCAAAATCATGGATAATTTATGGAGTGCGATCCCCCTTCGACAACGTCCACTGTACTGGTTGCAGCCTTCGGCCCAGCCATAGCTTCGTGCGTGGTGCATCGTGACGCAAAACTGGACGATTTCCGTTTGGGCAACGCCCTCATCCAGGCTGCATCCAGGTCAAGCCTAGCCCCAGAACTGCAGCACTTCCAGCAGATACACACTCGACGGGAAGCGACTGTCGATCGTGCGCACTAAACAACAGAGGCTCCTCTTTCCAACAAGCTGGCAGCACTGCGCTTTAACATTAACAGTGACAGCACCAGTAACACTAACATAAGATCCGCTGTTAACAGTGACAGCGAATGGAAGCGTCTCTTCATGGGTGTTACATTTCTGAGCCTATTTTCTCTTCGAGTACCGGGTACCTACAAAAAATACCTATGTACTTTGGCAAAATCAGACAGGTCTTTATGACCTTTATGACGAAATGTTACTGTAAATAATATTATGGACCGTATACGTACTATTTGTAGCATATCGTTTAGTTTCCATAGTATAGTTTTAGTTTTCTACTCATCATTCCTAACTCTCTTTCTATGTTTCCGTTGCTCTTCAAGTAAACGAAAGCTTTTTCCAGAGCTACAACCTGCCCTTGCTTTCAGCGTAGACATGAACCGCTTCGTTTAGCGCTGACATGACCCGTTTCTGCAAGCGTGGTTGGAATAGAACCTGAAAAGTACCCTTCTATATGTTGAAAACATTTGACTTACAGTTGTTTCTCAATAGAATAGCTCAATGGAATAGAATAGCTTTTGTGTTTTACTTGCCCCTTCAATTGTTGTTTATGTTTACATATTTACGCGTATTGACGTATTCGAATCCGTTGCCTTGTTACATAGTTTGACAGTTTGTTGTGACGTTTTGACACGAATAATGAATGCTGTTTATTGCCTTGTCATATATTTAATGTCAGCTAGGCTTAGGATTACACACTGGAACCGCTCAGCAACAAATTCATTTACTCGCACCTTGACGCTCACTTTATTGGGAGTGTATTGATGCAACAAAAATACAAAGAGATGAAATTATATTTAATGCATTTACTTAAGCGGTTGAAAATTATATTGGATTGTCCAAAAAGATTCTCGTAAATGGAGTTATGACAAATGGGACCTGTAAATTTCGAAGAATATTCAACAAAAGAACAAATAACTTTGAAATAACAAATAAATTTGAAGATTTTATGCAAGAGCAAGTTCGTGCAGGGCATCAGTCTGCTCCATCCTCTGAACCGCCTTCCTCCTCCTCTTCGACTTCCTCGTCCTCCTGGTATCCCACTCGTCCTCCTGCTGCTCCAGCTGCACAGTCCAGAGTCGTCTTCCCATATTGATTATATACTGGCCAAAGACCAACCTAATAGCAGTGCAAGTGAGAGCCATCAAGAGCAACGCCAAGAAAAAGGGCAAAAGAGTGAAGCGTTTGGTGAGCAACTTATCAACGATAGGTACTGCCGCTACCGGTCGGAAGTAGTAATAAATAAATTTCACAATTTGTTCAATCATTTCGATAATCGGATCTAGCTGAAGTGTGTCAAGAAGTAATTCAACGACTTGAACAACATCCATTGTGGAATACAAATTATTACTTCGAAATTAGAAATATTTTTAAGTTTTTACTCGGGATATTCTGAGTTGTCTAGAAGGGGAGCATGAAATTACCGAACCGCCTACTTTACTCTACTTAACACACATAAAAGCCTCGATGACAAGAATGGAGAATGGTCCTAGTAAAATGATACAAACACTGGTATCTTAGCGAGATACTTTCTATTTCCACAAGCTCTTTGAACCCGGCTAAGCTCTGAATTAAACATGGAATAAATTGAATCAGATTGTGAGAATATTTGAATGCTCATTTTTGGTGGACACTTATTGCTTTTTGATACCAAAACAGTTGACGGCGGTGATGAGTCGCGGCAAATTCCCGTGTAAAAAGCTGCGCAGTGCATCAATCCAGTCGATTGAATTATATTTTATGGTAGTTTATGTGAAATATATCTGCGGCACTAAGAGTTAATTGTGCATTTATGTAATGATTATCTACGATATCCATGATAGTTTCCATATAAATGTACATAAATATTATGGACTGACTAGCAGTTGAATTTGTGTGACAGCGCACCTTATGTGTTCTGTTCAAAGTTTGTCCACAGTCTAGACTTGGCTTGGGGTAACTGATGTGTTAACTGATTGACCACACACACTGCTCTACAGATACAGATAGCCTGGTCAATGGGTTAAATGCTTGGTAGTGCGAATTGCCTAATCAAACAATTGACCCACACTTAACTGTGACTCATGCCGGAGTGGAGAGTTGTTGAACCCTCTGCCTGACTGTCTGCTTGGCGTCTGTTTGCTGTTTGATTTGATAAATGTTTCAAGCCTTTTGCAGTTTATCAATTTCGACTGACTGTGGCCAATGACACCTGGGACCAGACGAGACGGGAGACCAAGGCCCCCAATTCCATTTAATGCAATTAATTAGCATATAGTACATGAGTACTACACATGCCAGCATACACGTGTATTGTATTAAAGGCAAATAAACATATGAAAATAAATCAGTTACTGATTTCATTAAGGACGGCCAAGCAGAGGCAATGTTCAGTTTTGATTTGCAATTAAGTATTACACTTGTTCATTGTTGATCATCATTAGCGGAATGGAAACAAAGTAGCAACCAAAACAATCAGCAACAAATAGAGTTAGAGACTACCCATATTTACATGGAAAACCCTGTGGCAAATGTGGGAAATGCAAACAGAAGTCGAAATCGAAATCTAAGCACAAGTAAAGTCGAGCGAAAATAAAACAGTAATACGAAGCGAAATCAAATTTATAACTTTTAGTATTAAATAAATAAAAGTGAGAAGAAAAATAATAAACACAAAAGTAGTGCTGGCATTTGATGATGCAATTCTGTTGCTTATCGGTGAGGGTCTGGCTGTACTGTCTGTCAGCTGACGAATCTCTCAATGAACTTCAGTTTAATCTACAATGAGTACATATATGTGTAGCACGTGCTGTTGGGCACAGAATGGAATGTTTATACGAAAAGTTAGCAGCATGGAATCATTTTGCTTGAGTTTCCTCAAGGAGCAGTAGGAGGATGTGGATGCAGAGCACCATGAAATCAATTGGAAATATCAAAGTATTATTTTAAAGTGATTATAATAGTCCAATAATAACTAACCTGCAACTTTCTCTATTCAACGATTAGCTCTCAATTGACACCACATAAAATTAAATTAAATGCAAGCAAGGGAAAATATTTGTTCTCGACACGCTCCCATTGAGCGCTTCAACAAGGTTTGAACATCTCATTAGGAAGGAGGACTGACTACGGAGTACTCGAATTTGCCTTTCAGTTTAACATCTGGCGGATCGATCCGATCCCTTCAATGAAACGACATTTTGTGAACATATTTTTGTAATATATTTTTTTGTTTATTTTTTAGTGCATTTACTTAACTAGAGAGTATGTTGTATATGTAGTTTAGGATTACTCGTAAATGTAAATTAATATCATTAACAATTATAGGGATGGGGTCTGGGGGTGTATTTGATGCTACAGCTTTATATTTTCGTCTCCCACCATTCTCTTCTAGGGGGTGGGTATTTCTTTTTGGATTCTTGCTCTACTTGTTAATCATTCAACAACAAACAAAAAAAAAAAACATCCTCACACTAAAACCTAACAACAGAAGCTAGAAAAAAACAAACACAAAAAAAAATTCATTGGAAAATCTTAGCTAGAAGTACGAGAGAGTAATTCTGTCTCTGGATCCTGCCCTTTAGCTTCAGGAACTTCAGTGGGGGAAAATACGTTAGGTAAATTTAATTGCGCCTATGACTAATGTCTAACGGTAGATATGGTAGGTATACATATTGTCGCCACCGCCGAGAGACCGCGTCTCGGTTCGGATTGCCGCGTTGGTCTGGTGTCTGGTGTCGGGTTCGGGTACGGTTACGGGTACGGGTAGAGGTGCGGGTCAATGGATCAGTGGATCGATGGGTTAACAACAAGATTAGAAATCAATAACAGGGCAGCAAAACAATGCTGCATAGAGATGGATATAAAATGGCGACTTTGCCCTCCATGTCACGTTTACTCGTCCAGGCAGATGGTCCGCAAGATGGCCTCCACCACGGAGTAGGGATCGCAGTTGGAGCTGGGGCGGCGATCCTCGAAATAGCCCTTGCCATCATCGTTGACGCCACGGGGAATGCGTATGCTGCAGCCGCGGTTGGCCACTCCAGCGCTGAAGTCATTGATGGAGCTCGTCTCGTGCTTGCCGGTCAGGCGCCGGGCATTGTCCTGTCCCTGTTTGGGATCGTAGGCGCGAATGTGACGCTCATGGCACTTGGCCAGCTTGGCCACGGCCTTCTCAATATCCCGAATGCCACCATCCTCCCGCATGGCCTTGGTGGAGACATTGGTGTGGGCACCAGCGCCGTTCCAGTCACCTGGCATGGGCTTGGGGTCCAAAGTGGACACAATCTGCAATCGTCACAAAAAGAATTCCACATGAGTCCAGAGACAACCCATTATGCCATGTGGGCTGATCTACTCACGCCAAACTCCTCCGAGATGCGGTGCAAGAGGAAGCGAGCCATCCACAAGTCATCGCCAATGGAGATGCCCACACAGGGTCCCACCTGGAATTCCCATTGGGCGGGCATCACCTCGGCATTGGTGCCGGACACCTTGACGCCAGCATACAGACAGGCACGATAATGAGCATCCACAATGTCACGGGCATACACCTAAAGCAAAGAAGCAAAGTTGGAGCTTAGAGCTCTGAAATATGGAATTCATTCTATTCCTGTACCTTATTGGCGCCCACACCGCAGTAGTAGGGACCCTGGGGACCGGGGAAACCATTCTTGGGCCAACCCAATGGATGGCCATCGAAGTCAAGGAAGGTGTACTCCTGCTCAATGCCAAACCATGGCACCTCATCGAGGCACTTGTTGGCCACCTCCAAGCAGGTCTTCCTCTTGTTGGTTTCGGTGGGCGTGCCATCGAACTTGTAGGTGTCGCACATCACGAGAATGTTGTTGCCACGGCGGAAGGGGTCCTTGTAGATGGCCACCGGATACAGATAGGTGTCCGAATTGGAGCCCTCGGCCTGATAGCACGAGCTGCCATCATAATTCCACACAGGCAATTCTAATTCATTCAATTGGATGGGGTATTGGGGTATTAGTTAAGGGTTTGCTTAGGGGGCTGACCTTGTGAGTCACTTTGGCATGCAATATTCTCGAATTAATTGTAATTGGCTGACAATTGGCCCTGCCTTTTGGGCTTGGGTTTCACATCTCATTCACAACAATTTCTCATTTTCCACACAATCGGCACGCGCTGAAGTCATTTGCATGCTGTTTGTAAACGCTACAAATGCAAATGCATTTCTCTAAACAGTACGTTTCATGCATTTAAGACAGAGCAAAGACGGTCAATCAATTAAGCCATCAAAGATATTTGTCAATCGAATGCAGATCATTGTGAAATTGTGTTCGGAATTGTATCAGAATGCGCTGGAGGTTTCCTCATTTGCTATTAGTATTTAATACCTCTCTCATTGAGTCATTGAGTATCTGTAGTGATATCTGGTTTCTTAAGTCCCAAAGTACCTACGATATGATTCCATAACAATGTGCCTCACCTGTTGGCTGCTTGTGACTTCCCCCTTGCCAAATATACATATATATTGTGCCATAATTATTGTGCGCATATTAAATTGCACAGTGCAAGCCTCTCCGCTTTACCCTTCTGTTGGGCATTGTTTTTATTTTATTCTGTGGAAAGCGTCCCTCAAAAAGGGGTCTTCCATTAAATTGCTCTGGGGGGAGCCGACTAGTTCTGGTGCTTTGGGAACCTGTTTTCCATTTGCCTGTTGTTTATTTTAATAAATAGTTAATTTCCGTAGCCACAACCCCCTGACAGCCATCTCACAATGCATTTAAATAATGCTAATGAAAATATTTCACTTATGCAAAATTCTCGCCAAGAGGGAGACAGAGAGCGGGGGGTGTAGAGTAAATGTAACAGGCGGGGGGTGACCTTGAGGCAACGTTTCCATTTACAATCTGATATCTCATGCTAGTTCTCTATCTCTATCACTCGGAACGACCCCAGTTTCAGTCGCAGTCCCAGAACCAGTACCCCATCGCTTGCTGTCCCTCCATCATCATCATCATCATCATCATCACTCGCTGGCTGCGTGTGTGAGTGTCCGTCTACTCGTAGAGCGCACCCCGATTGATAAACAGCTGTAGCTCCTAGACAGATACCGAGACAGAGATAGAGACAGAGGACACCGGACTACAGTGTGTCACTGTGCCACAGCTATTAGTCTTTGCTCTGCCCTTATTTTTAGGGGCTTTCCCCACCTTTCTACCAAAGATCTTTCTATTGTTATTGTCATTTATTTGTCAACTATAAGCGTATGGCTCCCTTCAGTTAGGGTTGGGTGTTTGTTCAAGTGTTTTTGTAATGCATTTTATTGATCCCACTTTATGACCAATGGGCTCATAGAGTGAGGGTGGTTCGTGGCTAGAATGGTTCTCCGAAGGTTTTTCTGCATTTAATATGCAAAATCAAATTGTTATTTTATTGAAACCTGCACGCAGAGCCGATTAAATGTCATTTGGTTTCAAATTGTTTGAAAATTGCCCACTTAGTATCGGAAGTTCCCAAACTGCATTGCCCAAGTTTCCCGTTCCCTGAGAGAAGCTCTCGTACTCAGTTCTCTCTTACCCATTACCATATTGATATTGCATCTCTGTGTGTCTCTGTCTGGCGTAGACGTAGACGAGCGCATCAGGTGAGGTAGGGCCGAGACATTAAGACCTGTCTAAACTCCATAAGAAGCAATTGAATTCTTATTCTTGCCATGTCGATCATCTGCTGCGCCGTTTGGCCAGTGCTTAAGAGTCAACGTGTCGCTTTCTTCCACACACACACACACACACACACACCCACACCCACACGCGATGTGCTGTGCTGTCACCAAGTGCGTCTCACTGTGCTGATTTTTCTGTTTTGTTTTTCTCTTTCTATCTTTTCCACTATGCTCTTTGTCCGCTGCACTTGGCGTGTGCTTGTGTCTATGTCTATCTGTGTGGACGTATCTACAGATTCTTAATTAGTAATTGTGCGCATTAAGTCACTTTGATAGCAATAACAGCAGGCTGGCGGGCAGGCAGCAAAAGTTGTTTGTCTTTGCTTTGGCATTCTATGCGCTTTCAAGTGCAGGCAGCAAGCAGCCAGCAGCCAGCAGCCAGCCGGACAGCGTGTGCGAGTGGAATAATTAAGATGACAAGAGATGCACTGGGGCGATGGAATCCACTTCCGAGTTTGTAGAGCGGTTTTTGGAAACACTCTACGTACGAGTATTATCTGTCTGAGTCGAGTGGAGCGAGTACTTGCCCCAAAGTTGATTAGTTTACGGCCGCCGTAGGCACTAAAGACTCTGGCTCGGTAATTGCACATTAAAACGCAATCAATTAAGGAAAAACTCTTTCAAGACAGCCGTCCCAATGTTTTGTTTTATGAAGCCCTCGTGCGACCGCTAGCTAAATCGCATTATCAGACGCGAGTCGTGAAAATTTCTTTTTTTAGAACCCCCCAATACTGGTCGTAAAGTACTTCCGAGACGGGCGGACGGGCCAAACAAAATGCTGCCCAGAACCGTGCCAAGGCAAAGGTCAGCAGCGCACACTGAGCAGGGGGACGGGGGGGATTGGCTATTATATAATTAACCGACAATTTCGAGTACTCTGGTTCTGTTCCCAGAAAAGCGAGGATCAATAAAAAACAAATTGAAAATCAAATAAAAAATCAACGGCACACGAAAGCTAAAAACGAAAAACTAAAACAAACGAATCGGCTCAGTGTCCAATTTTTGCGTTATTTTTACAATCAAAATTTATCGGGTAGCACCCATAAAACCCCGTAAATGGCACGAGTTTGTGTATGGGACAATAGTGTGAATATATGTATCTGTCTGTGTTTTGGGGGTTCCCTAATTTATAGGGAAATTAGCGAGTGTCGCCGTCTGGCATGGAGTTCCACAAGAAGTTGATCTTTTGGCTAATAACCCATTCTCACACACATTCCGATCCACATTAAATGCCCATTACTGTTCGACAAAAACAATTTGTGGCCTGGCCATAAAAAGTCTGAGGAACTGTTGGGATCGCGAATGGGTCTGATCGGATTGGATCGGTACTGCTGAATTATGGCCCATAAATCAGACGCGACTGAGCAGTACTCAGAACTGTCATTGCAATTGTTTTTGGGCCCACCCACAATGGGCCACAGCAGATAAGATAAGAGATGGAAACTGAGAGATTGGGTATTTGGAGGATGCCCCAGCCAATATCGGCTGGAGGGAGTGTGTAAGCTTACCCTTGGGACTCGTTGGGATAAAGTCGAGCGTGCGATCCTTGCAGCGCAGATCCTCGCCGGTGCCATCAATCCACACATAGGTGGCCTGGACCACGTTATCCTCTAGCGGCAGCGACAGGTAGCGGTCAAGAATGGTCTTGTTGATGCGCGCATTGGGCGAGTCTTCCAGGATTCTACCGGACATACTGGAGGATTGGTATTGCGGTGGTTTGAGGGAAAAAAAAGTGAATCAAATATAAAACAAGATTCGATTGGCACACGTTTCGAATTGGTGGGTTGGTTGGTTGGTTGGTTGATTCTGGAGCCCTGTCTCCGGGTTTTCTTTTTGGGAATATGCACCTGTTTTTGTTTCTTTTGGATTTCTCACACTCTGAACTTTATTTGTGCTTAGGAAATGCCCAAGTGTCCTTGGTTGTGGGTGTTGGGTGGTGGTGTCTTTTTTAGTTAGGTTGCGCGCGGAAGCGTTACTGGAACACGACTAAGCTGGAAAGCGTTATTCCAACTCAATTTATAATGACAAACAACAAACAAAAAAAAAAAACCATATATAATTCGCCGCCAGCAACAGTAATGTTTTTTTTTGTATTTGTTGTTGTTGCTGTTGCTGCTGTTCTGTTCTGCTAGTATACTACTTACAACAAACTAAGCGCTGCGGCAGCGACATCAGCAGCAGCGCCATTGAAAACAAAAGCAACAGCTGTTGTAGTCGCTGCCAGCAGCAACAGCAGCAACAGCAGAAGCAGCAGCAGCAGCACCAGAGGCGGTGCGGCGTTCGTCACTTGTTCTAGGCTGCCGCCCGCTGCATGATCGACACTGTCCAAGGTGTATTTTAGACAAGGTGAGGCCATATAGGAAACAGCTCTCACATGGGTGAGTGCAAGGAACTGCATGGCCGAAGTTGGTCACAAGAAGGAGTGAAGATTTGTCTTACACGGAGAGAGGGATTGTTGCTAAAGAGCAACAAAAAATTGCTCACCTTGCGCTAATTACAGCTTGGACAGTGTCGTGTGCGCACCCACCCCACCCAATCCCACTGATTAGACGTCAGTGTTAGCGTCGCAGTCAACGTCGCGCAGTCGTCGTCGGTGATTGTAGAAGGATGAGAAGGGGGAAACCGTTCGTTTTTGCAGTTGTCGCTGCGGTTGTCGCGCGCGCGCTCGCTCCTTCTATTGTCACTGCGGGACTGAGGCACTCACTAGGTACGGTCCGGTCCGGTGCGGTCGGGTCGGGTCGGTCGTCTCCCTCTCTCTCCCACACTCTGTCACTGATTCACAATTGGATTCCTGGTTGCTTCCGGTAGCTGCTTCGTCTCGTTCGTTCGACTCGCGTTCGCGTTCGCATTTGCCAAATGCCTTGTTTTATTTTTGATTCACTTTTGATTAATGCGTGAACGAAGTATGGTGTTGCAGGGAAGGGAGGATGGATTAGCGGGATATTACAGTTTGATGCATTTGCAATGTTATTAATTACAAACCGCTTATCAGGCAGATCGAGAACACATGAGATGACATGAGCAGGGACACTGGCGGTGGAGATGGAGATGATATTCGAAATGATGATGACAAGGACAGGGACAAGGGCGGGGGCGGGGGCGTAGGCCGAGGCCAAAGCTGATGTGTGCTGTCAAGCAAGTGCCATAGAGATGCATTTTAGATGCAAAGATGAGCGGCTATCGTTTTCAAACTTACGATGAATGCATTTTGTATCTTTTCTAATTCCACACAGCGTAGTGTTTGAAATTTAATTAAAGCTTTGCACTATCTTCACTCTGTAGAAATTTTACACTTGCACTTTACTAAATATTGCAGGATGCGACTGTGATTCCGCTGCAGTCAGGTGTAGGCTGCAGACTGTGAGCAGCCCTTTGAGCTTGGAGAGAGTGAGGGAGAGCGGGAGATATGTAACTGAAATTGGAACGGGAGAGCACAGTGGGCACTTCTTAGCGGAGACTGACTGCGCATATCCATCGGCGATTGATCTGCTTTTATAGGCCCGGACCCAGTGCCCACTGCGCCGCCAGATGAGACTCCCGACTCCAAACCCGACAGAAAAAGATGTTCGTCCCAGTCGGATGTGTGACTCGATTTTTTGATTATTTTTATGGCGTATAAAACAAACACGGAGCGGAGCATATGTGCTAATTACCTTTTCAAGATTCTCACATTTTATTATTGCGAGCATTTGGCGTCCAGTTCAAGCCATGGCACACACGAATACAAAGCCCAACAAAATGTAAATATAGAAATACTATAGGGTAAAACGTGAACAAATCTGACATTGTCCAGACAAACATACATAAATATTCGTATCTCTGTAATCACAGATGTGCGAGTGACCCTCCTGTACGGGTACGTGTACGTGTACGTGTACGAGTATTTCCCTTTTAATGGCTTTCCGGCAACCGATTTCACGGATCAAGCCACACGTGAACTCCTCTTGTCCGGGGTCCGGGTCCGTGCCAAGTGCGTAGTCGGCGTCTCGGCTGCGTCTCAATGCGTAGTGCCGTACAGCCAGCGGAAAATATTGGTCGTGTTTGGGGCCTAGAGGTGTGAAAATGTTGATTGGCAAGCACATTTGTTTAGGGGGGAAAAAGGGCTTTTGTTCGAGTTGTCAGTTAACTGGATGAAGGTCTGTCTGAAGGTCTATAAGCAATCCAAACAAGTTCTAAGTCTAAAAATAATGCTAGACTGGGCATAAAATGATTTTATAGCTTGTCAGATATAGTGATACTCCCCCAAGAAACCCTTAACCGAAACGTAGTTCTACTCCGCACTTAAATTTCCAGATGATTAATGGAAGTTAGTATATATTTTTTCAATGATTAATAAACGTTATATCATACAGACGGAGAAGCTGTGAGGTGAACAAAACAAAGCAAACACACACAAAATGATTAATATTTCCATTGCAGCACACACATGTTGAACGAACCTTTATTTTTGCTTGACAAGCTTTTTCCTTTGGGTGTAAGGGACGGCAGCCGGTCTAAATTTAAACGCAAATAAAAACAGACATAAAGAAAGACTGTTCGGACGGACATACGGACAAACGGTGGGCCGTCTGGCGGAGCAGCGGAGTGGGAGAGGAAGTTGGCCAAATAAATTGCGACAAGCAACATTTTATTTCAATTTTAAATGCACAATTAACATATGTATCGGCATCTACAAACATGCCTACCCAGCCCCAGATCCCCTGCCCCACCATTCGACAGTACATAAAATAAACAGAGCAGACGAACGTGAAGTAATTTTCGATTAAGGCCCGTATGACACTTACTGCATAATCAATCAATGGTTACTAAATCTTTATTGCATTTTGAAGAATATATTTGAAGAAACATGAAAGGTCAATTACTACCAGAATCATGAAATGTTAATCCTGCAACCCAGATGAAATCTCAAATTACCATAGAGATGAAATTTCTCTAGGATCTAAGATGATTCAAGCTGCGTGAAGCAAGTGTCTCTTTCACTGCTTCTTGGAGCACTATGCTGATCCATAAACAATTTTGATCTGTTTTTAATTATTTTTTTGTTGGTTTACTCTACGCTACTTTAACGACTGCTCAGTGTTCCGCCTCTCAGCAGTTCATAGAATATTAAGGTAAGCGAGTGTCATATGCCTATTATCGCCACAATCCGTTTGTCGTCTCAGGCCTCTCGTCTGAGATCTGCTTTTCCGTCCGCCCGTCGCATGTCTTGTGCTCGGACCGTTCACGTGAACTGCGCATGCGTCTGGTGACGTCGTTCATCGTCCGCCTGCCGTTTCGGTCTTTGCTCGCATTTAACGAGGCGAATTATTTTATTTTTTTCTTGTTCCAGCAGCGTCTTTGTTGCATTCAAATTGGCTTAGGCGTCGGCGGAATCGATCGATCGGCCATAAACCCCTGGCTGGTCAGACCACAAACTTAGATCTCACGGACGATAAAGCCTTTGGGCCAAGATTAGTGCCCACCAAATACCCAGAAGAGTGTGGAAGAAGAAGCAGCCATTGACGCGTGGCTTCGATAAGCAGTGGGCCAGCAGGCGGGCCAGCAGCAGGCGGTGGTGCTGGTCGCAAGGCGGCGGCGCACGGGTTAACCGACTTAACCGTAAGTAGGTGAAGGCAGCTCGGCACCCCCTTCTCATACACTGGGGCATTTTGTTTGTGTGACTAATTGATTGACGGGGGAGACTGTGCAGACGGAGACGTGTTATCGGCGGCACCGTTCCACTGTGGATCGTTCCATTTGTGGACGAGAGTGTATCGTTCGCTCCGATCCGTACGGAAAGCTCGCATTAATTTGACTGCTTAATTGGCGATCATCAAGTGGCAATTAATCATTGTGGGCCACCACCATCACCATCAACATCATCATCAACCCCTAATTAAAGCTCTTTCTCTTTGTTTGGCGCCATTTTCGAGATGACTATCGCCATTATCGCTTGGATTTTCGTTTTTACCCAACGGCAAGCGACTTTACACTACGACTTTGGGCAGAAGTTTGCAGTCTTTAAAGGTCTATAGATTTGTATGAGTATTTCTTTGATTATTTTTCAATAGATTTAAGTTAAGCTTGAAGAAACCGTACTTGATTTAGGCACTAGAAATGGTTTTCTATTTGGCACTAGCTTTCCGTCTTGCCATTATTTATTTGCCTTGCATTTTGGCTAGAGCGCTCTGTTAGGGTATTAGAACATTCGTCTGCTCATCCATGGGTTTTCCCCTAGGCCTTCTTGGCCTCCATAAAGTTGCATAACCCTGCCACGTTCGATGGCCAGCCGATCGGCTGCCCCTCATAAAAGCAAACTCACTTCTAGTTCTTGGCCTGGACGACCCTGAACTTTGCCAATGTTACGTCCGATAGGAGAGTGTGGTGGAGTGCTTGCTGGAATGTCTCCAAGAGTGCAGACAAGCGTGCGTATACGCAATATGAGTAGTGTTTGTGGCTTATCTGGGGAGGGAGGAGAGAGAGTAGCTAAAAACAAAGCGAACCGAAGCTAACCCAAGCGAAGTGAATTATAAAAAAAAATGCTACACTCTACTCTTTATGCCCCCAATTGGCGTATAAACTCTATTAAACAATTTATGCTTTAAACTGTCTGAATTGCTTCACTTCTTTATAGCCAGCGGCAGCGGGGCACCGCTTTTGGGGTCCGCTTTTGGGGTTCTTGTTTCTGTTTCTGTTTCGCTTTCGGTGTTTCGGTTTCCATTTCGGGCTCTGTGGCGGCTCTGTGGCACCGCACGCTTATTTATTCTATAATAAACTTATCTAATACTCAGAGTCATGTGCACTTTATTGTTGTATGGGTGGTGTGCTGTGTGCTGGGGTGCTGCGTGCTGTTCTGGGTCCCAGTTGGCTTCGTCATGAAACAGCGTGATCACAGGCCCAAGCTCCCAGTCACCAAAAATTAAGGCTGATCTGCCGCCCCTTCTACTCCCCTCCTGCTGCTGCTGTTGCTAATCAAAAACAATGTCAGGCCATCTCAATTGAGTTGATCTCTCACTCTACGTTCCCCCTTTATTTTTTTTGGGAGAGAGAAAGAGCGAGTATTCGCTGCAGTACGGGGTATTTGAACTATGAACAAATGTTTGCAGAGCCAAGAAGGAAGCATCCTCTGGCTATGCAGAGAAAGTCGCTGGATGTTTCATGCAAAATGCAAGCTGTAGATTTCTGTGTTCTTTTGGATGACCATATCATACAGTAGAAAGCTTCCAGTAAAGGGTATCCAAATGATGCTCGCTTCTTCTTTCCTGTGTAATTGTATTGCGTGTTTGTTGCGTGTCTCCATGCGTCTGTCTCTATGTGTTTGTGTGTGTGTGTGTGGTGTATAAAACTACAAAATGTGAAAACAAATGGGGCATAAGTGGGGGTGCACAACAAACAAAAAGGGGCAAATAGTGGAGCAATTGCCGTTGATTCAATTTGCCAGTTGGTTCATTCGGTGCACCTCTCTCTAAGCTGCTCGGTGCTTGGCACTGCAATTACGATGTCCATCCAAATCCAAAGCAATCCAATCCAATTTACTCATCATCATCATTATGATGATCAACGTCAGCATTATCATTTGTTGCCCTTCGACTGGAGCAACAGAACAACAAAAACTATTTGCAAGAGATTCAAAATTGAAGTGAACTTCAATCAACCTTATCAGGCACCCGGCACTCGGTTCTCATGATCGGCCTTCCTGCCAACCCCCAAAAATCAACGATTAAAACCCGATTAACAAAAAAACCTGAGAGACTCCCGCCGTCATGCACACGAGTGCGAGTAGCACAAATGTATATGGTAATACTGCTCTGACGTCATGGGGCCGTGCCAGGGAACGTGCGCTACTAATCTGAGTGTGCCTGCAAAACGATTGCCTTCAGACCCGTCTGTGGCGTTGACAAAAAAGAGAAAAAAGACCCCACCAAATATAAGGAAAATATATACGAAACATACTCGCATATAAACTTCAATACATCAATGGCACGCACTCGAACGAACGAACGAATAAAACCGAACCGAAGCGAACCGAACCGAAGCACACACGGGTACGATGCCAGACGGGTTTGCATGATTTATGACTCCACTGGACAGGCACAACAGAAGTGGCACAGGAGCGGAATCGATTGGAATGACCTCTTTGAATGAATGTTTCATATGATTAACAAACGAAGAAATCCTCTCCTGTAGCCTCATCATGTGGTGCGTGAGAGTTGGGCCCCAGAGATTAGAGTTAACGAAAACGCACGAATTTTTCGTGTTCTGTAGGAGTCCAAGTCAAAAAATGTATTAATCTTGATTTGTTTGTGGTTTGATTACTGGACAAATGAAATTAGCGTCAGGCGCTAATTGATGCATTAGCTCTGATTGCGACACGTTCTTAGCCACTTCTGACTGGCCGTCAGATGTCTGTCTGCTGTCTTCAATCCGCAGTATCTGTTCCATCAATAACTCAAACTTGCGGACAATTATCCAGCGAAAGTTTTTGCAATAACTTTGCCCTAATCGCTGTCATAACAAGTCAATTAAGTAGGCTTACTCTTCCTTCCAGAAGATGAACGAGGCAATAGGGTGGATATATAAAGAGTCCCACCTGAGGCAGGACTCTCCATTATCGTTGCATTATGTGGCACTGGCTGCGGTTCCTGCGTCGCGACCAGCCGCTGAGCGTTTACTTCTTTGCCGTGCCCCGTCTCAGTCTGGAGATCATGGGCTACTGGCCGATAGGCGAGAAACTGCCCACCCGTGCCATCGTTCACTTTGTGATCCTGTTCATTGGCGTCGTCACAGAGCTGCACGCGGGCATTGCGTTTCTGCAGAAGGCTCAAATCACCATGGCACTGGAGACACTCTGTCCGGCCGGCACGTCAGCAGTTACGCTCCTCAAAATGCTGCTAATGCTGCGCTATCGCCGGGATCTGGCCAATATTTGGTTGCGACTGCGCCATATGATCTTCTATGGTGGCCTCGACAGACGGCAACAGCGGACCATTATGCATGAGCATTCGGTAATGGCGGCACGCATCAATTTCTGGCCACTGTCCACGGGTTTCTTCACCTGCACCACCTACAACCTGAAGCCACTGCTCATTGCCTTGGTGCTGTATTTGCGTAATCCCAAACAGGAGCTACTGTGGAACACACCATTCAATATGACGTGAGTGATGCTGTCATTGGTGGCATTGCTCTCAACAGACCCTCTTATCAACAGAATGCCGGAACTGCTGCTGGGTTCTCCGTTCTTTCCACTGACCTACGCCTTTATTGCCTACACGGGCTATGTGACCATCTTCATGTTTGGCGGCTGCGATGGATTCTACTTTGAGTTTTGTGCCCACATCTCGTCCCTCTTTCAGTCGCTCCAAGAGGAACTGCGCGCCACCTTTCAACCCTACAAAGGTATGCAGTTAATTTATTACCCTTGACACCGGTTTTCCCCTTAAACCATGGAGTTTCTTCTTGAAGGATACCTGAAGCTAACGCCCAACCAGTGCGTCCTGCTGGAGCTCCAGCTGCGTGACATAATAATCCGACAGAATGCGATCTTTGCGCTGACAAGTTTCTTCCGGAAACGTTATGCGATCATCACGCTGGCGCACTTTGTGTCCGCCGGATTGGTCATCGGTTTCAGCATCTGCAATCTGTTGACCGTCGGCAATAGCAGCCTGGGCGCCCTACTCTATGTTGCCTACACGGTGGCCGCACTCAGCCAGCTGCTCGTCTACTGCTACGGCGGCACTCTGGTGGCCGAAAGTGTGAGTTTACCCCCCGGAATCATTGATTGATTGATCGAATGACGATTATCCTTGCAGAGCGTTGAGCTCTCTCGTGTGGCGGCCACTTGTTCCTGGACATTGTGCGCACCCAGGCAGCGTCGCATTATTCTGCTGCTCATTCTACGATCCCAGCGAGCACCGACCATGGCGGTGCCGTTCTTCTCGCCATCACTGTCCACATTTGCATCGGTAAGTACATCCCATTAACACTTGAATTGTAGCGATCCTCGAACGATATATTCGTGTGTGTACTCTGACAGATACTACAGACGTCTGGCTCCATTATTGCATTGGCAAAGTCCTTTCAATAGTTGGGAAGATTGATGGAAAGGTTCCTCATGTCAGCGAGTGATTAGAAACGTGTGGAGTAACAAATATAACGTGTCTGACTGTGTAGCGTGTAGCAGTGACGTGTAGCAGTAGCGAGTACCAATAAAAACACGCATTAACCTCTTATCACACTTTACTTCATCTGCCAGCTACTAAACAAGCATCAAGCCTAAGGTATCCGCTGAATAAACGAGGCCAAAAATGATTCAAAGAGAAGTTAAGGACTGTGGGGGGTGCCCTTTAATCCTTTACCTTTTACCAAAAACCTTCGTATCAGATATTTAGGCATTAATTATGCACAGAGTGGCACAGCCATAGAGACACGCAACTGGTCGCTCATGGTCGCTCTGTGCTCTGGCTTGGGGCATCCAGGTGACAGTATAACCTGGCCGCTGCTAGGCTCAAAATGTCGACAGCGGAGGAGCACGAGCATGAACAGCAGAGTTTCTGGGAACGGCACGAGTTCAAGTTCTACAAGTATGGCCACATTTACGCTGTCATCTACGGCCAGGTGGTCATCGACTATGTGCCCCATCAGCCGCTGCGACGGGGTCTAAAGACACTGCTGATTGCCTACAGTCATGTGCTGAGTCTCCTGCTGATCCTGGTGCTGCCCGGCTACTTTGTCTATCACTTCCGAACGCTCACCGAGACGCACGACCGACGCATGCAGCTCATGCTGTACGTGAGCTTCGCTAACACGGCCATCAAATACGCGACTGTGATCGTGACATATGTGGCCAATACGGTGCACTTTAAGGCCATCAACTATCGGTGCACGGTGCACCGGCAGCGCCTGGAGACGGCCTTTCAGGGCGCCCCAGGGCAGCCAAAGCGTAGCTTCGAGTTCTTCATGTACTTCAAGTTCTGTCTCATCAATCTGATGATGATCGTGCAGGTGGGCGGCATATTCGCGGCGTACAGCGCCGCTGATGGGCCCGTGGTCAGGCAGGTGCGCCTGCACTTTGCCATCTACGCCTTTGTGCTGTGGAACTACACGGAGAACATGGCCGATTATTTTTACTTTATTAATGGCAGTGCTTTGAAGTACTATCGCCAGCTGCATCTGCAGCTGATGGAGCTGCGTCAGCAGCTGGCTGGGCTGCGGCCAGGCGGCATGCTGATGGAGCACTGCTGTCGGATGAGCGATCGCCTGGAGGAGCTGCGGCAGCGATTCGGCGAGATCCACCACCTCTATGCGGAGAGCCTGCAGATGCATCAGTTCCAGCTGCTGGGCCTCGTGCTGAGCACACTGATCAACAACCTGACCAACTTCTATACCATCTTCAATATGCTGGCCAAGCAGTCGCTCCAGGAGATTAGCATACCGGTCGTGATTTGCTCGGTATACGCCACGGGCTTCTACATCGACACCTACATTGTGACGCTGCTCAATGAGCACATCAAGCAGGAGCTGGAAGGATTCGCCCTCACAATGCGCACCTTTACCGAGCCACCAGCCACAGTCGAGCAGCGTCTGACCCAGGAGGTACAGTACAAACCAAATAAATATAATTTTTGGGATATTTTTGTGTATTTTCCGTATCTACAGATCGAACAGTTCTCGCTGGAGCTGCTCAAGTGCCGACCGCCTATGCTCTGTGGCCTGTTGAACTTTGACCGTCGCCTGGTCTATCTGATAGCCGCCACTGCCTTCTCCTACTTCATCACACTGGTGCAATTCGATTTGTATCTGCGCAAGCGGTCCTAAAACAGCAAACAAACCATCGCAGGCACATTGGCAGCCCAATGGTGAACACAGCAAGCTTCCAAAAAGCACTAAAGATTTGCAGACAATTGGCAATCACAAATAAAACAAAAGCAAAAGAAATTTGTTTGCTGCATAGTCGTAGGACCCTGCACGAGGGCAGGAACTTCACTCTTCAATAGTCTTAGAGCAGGAGGAGGTTCCACATAGACGACTGTGTGGCCCAAATGACTGTCAAGGTGACGATGTCCGCTGATGACGATGACAGTCTGCGTTTGTTGTTCTGTTGTGAAATGTGTGGTAGGGACGTGGCACACCCTTGAACACTGTTTGGTCAGTGGCCTCTGTCTTTGCAGGATGGATGGGTTAATGGGGATTTGCTTATCTCTGCATGCGAATGGGTTGTCCGTCAGTCTAATCGGATGGAGTAGGACACTTCACCGATTGGGCAAAAGGACGACACTGGACGTCGTGCCATCAGTTGCTGCCCGCTATGGGGCCTCGGTGGATGTACACGCTCCTGTTGCGCTTTTGGATGATCCAGGGCCTGGTGCTGGGTGCCACCGGGCACTACTATAGTGTCTCCCGTCGCCGGCTGGTGCCCTGCGGTGTGCTCCGCTGGTACAGCTGGCTGCTGATGCTGGCCACTCTGTTGATGTACGGTGTCTACTGGCGGTATGCGGAGAACTACCTTGTGGAGGGCATGTTCCGGCGTCACAGATTTGTGCAGATACTCAGCGAGGGTACCGTGCGGGTGATGCTGCTCACCCTGGTGCTGCAGAGTGTGCTCCGGGTGTTCCGGGAGCGGGAGGTCTGTGCGGTGTACAACGAGCTGAGGGCGATGAGGCAGCGATCCAAGGTGCTGCAGCTTCAGGAGGAGCACAGTCGCTTCTACTACGTGATGTTCTTTGCCAAACTCATCATTTATCTGCAAAACTTCAACTGTGTCCTGAGTGTTTACATAGTGGTGGAAGTGCGAACTTTTACGGTCTGCGACTTTATGGCCACCTTTTACTTCGCTTACATTTCGCTGGTACGGGAGTGCCTGCTGATGTCCTACGTTCTGCTGCTGCTGCAACTGGGCGAGGCTCTGCGGGTCAATGGTGAGCATCCAAGGACCTCCTATGCGGCCCTCATGCGACAGCTGAGACGGCAGGAGCGACTGCTGCGACTGGTGCAGCGGGTGCATCGCCTGTTCGACTGGCAAGTGCTGGCTGTGCTGGTATTCCAGCTGTACTTCAACACGACCACCTTCTATGTGGCCTACTCCTTTCTCGCGGCGCCCTCTCAGTCAGGGTCAGGGTCAGGGTCGGGGTGGGGGTCGGGTTTCCGTGTGTGGAGTATTAAATTCCTGCTCACCGCCGCCGCATTCATCAGCAAGCTCTGCGATGGCCTCCTCCTGCATATTGTTGGCGGTCATTTGCTGGCCCAGGGCAACAAAGCCTGCGCCAGTCCGCAAGTGGAGGCGGCATCGACCCACGTACAGGCAGCCCAGCGTCAGGTGAGCCCAAAAGAGGGTAGTCCAAAAAAGATAACTCTATCGCCTGCTCTATACATATGTACATAGATGGAAATGGCTTACCTAAAGCGTGCCATTCGTGCTGCTAACCCGGAGAACAGAGTCCTCGGCATGTTTAGCATGGACATGGGATGTGCCTTCGCCATCATCAGCAGCAGCCTGTCCTATGGTATTATAATCATGCAGCTGGGCTATATCCACAGCAAATGAATGCGTGCATGGAAAGTGTGGCCCCAAATCAGCAATCATTAAGCTCGTCAGTCATTCCAGCCACTTCAATATAGCTTATTAACTGGTAATATCTATCTGCATATCTAAATGGATCTGTGGTCGAGGGGTCACAGCTGGCTATCCTCGTACACTTTGTAGCTATAGGTAATTACTAAATCATTTTTTGTGTCAGGTGTGCGATATATTCCGTGCAAAATGTCCAGTCCAACATATCTCGTCTAACATGTTACGTGTGACATGCCCTGTGCAGCATGTTCCGTGAAACATGTTACGTGTGACATGTCCAGTGCAACATATTCTGTGTGACATGTCCAAAGCAACACGTCCAGTGCAACATGTCCCGAAGGAACGTGTATGAACACGACTGAACATGTTTCAACTGTTATAAACCAAGAAATTACAACACAAAATCAAATCAAATTCATTGTTCGTATATATTTAACTATATTTATTTTATATCTACTATTTTTAAATAAAAATGTAGCTTCGGTTTAATTTCACAGTCAAACCGGTGACTGTTCTATTCTGGATTGTATTCTGGATCAGTTTTATGTGTACAAAATTCTGCAAACAAAATTATTCGTTTTCGGCAGTCAAATGTCATTGAAATGATTGTCTTACGGGAAAGTCTGGAAATATGTCAGTTGATTCTATTCGTTGTGCTTCAAGCAGGACGATCTTTGCTCTTTGTTATTGGTTCTCGCACTGGGCGTGACATCCACATCCACAGATTGCAGTGGAATTAAATTGATAGATCATATTGTTTGGGTTTTTCTTTTGTTCTGCGGATCATGTGTTACGTTAAAGCTCAGTTCAATTGGTTGGCTTACCTGGGAGGCAAATTTAATCTTCGGATTCATCATTATCCTCCACGGGTAATAGCGGTTTGGACTGCACTTTCATGGTATAGCTGGGCTTGTTGTCTTCCTTCTCGTTTTCAGCCACCTTCGACCAGATTCTCTTTGGGCTTCTTTCAGCAGCATCGAAGAGCTTGAAGGCATTTCCAGGTAATCTCGAGCAGTAGGTGACAAAGTATTTGGGTTTATTATTTTCAGTCTCTGCGTTCGAGTTGGCAGTAGGACTCTCCTGTGTCTGGGACTCCTCTATGGCAGGCAAAGGCGTCTCATTGATAATCTCGATGGGGGTTTGGGTTGCCACCACAGAAGCCACTTTTGTTTTGGATTCCATTTCGAGGCATTCTGCCAGATCGAATTCCTTATCAAATTTGGGCAGCACAGCATCTGGCTGGAGAAGGGATTTTATATCAGAGAACTCTGACATGTCCAGTTCCTGGCTGCCTTCGGTGAATGTTGCCAGCGTCGACATCAGTTGCGATTCGATTTCCATAAGTTCTGCCAAATCAAATGCTTGTTCATCCTCTGGCAGCTGGATGCCGGGTGCAGAACTGTCGTTTCGCTTGGCGTAGAGCGATATCGAGCGGGAATTCTTGGGTGCCCGAAGGTTTATGCTTTCAGTGCGTTTTCCCGACGATGACACCTTCTTCGGGGGGTACACGCTGCCTGAGGCACTCATCTTGGCTGGCTTCCTGGCTGTTAGCTGTTTTCGGTTATTATCCAGTTTGAGGTTTTTGTTTTCGAACCTTTCGAACCGACTGTCGGCCGACTTCACATCAGCACCTGACCCACTGGCCAGATCCTTTTGAACGCGTTTTGCTGGTTTCGGTGGCCTAACCGAGCGGGACACCTTGACCGACGGCCGACTGTTTGAGCCAATGAGTTTGACGTTGCTCTGACAGCGGTCCACGTTCAGCTGCGGCCAGGACGAATGCACTCGAATGCGACGGTAGGACCGGCTGCCAGCATTTTCCGGGCTATTTATGCGAATGGCACTTACGGTTGTATCAATGGGAGCGCTCTGGCGCTGCTCCTTTCGCCGTAGCATCTTCATGAGTTTATCGCGTGTGTCCTGCAGGTCGGCAGCATTAAGCGAAGTCCCAACTCTCCGACTTGGCGAAGATTGCATGGCAATCGAAGACGTGGAAGACTCTCGCTGTCTTTTCGAACGCTCCTTTGCCGCCACTCCCCTCGAGGCAGAGAGCGTTTTCTTGAACGAAGAGAGCATTGTCTGGGACATATCCCTTCGCGGTCGCCCACCCAACGTTGTGGCAGACGCTGTGTGGCGACTTGCTGCACGTAGCTTTGGAATCTCCTCGCTCTTGCTGTCGCGTGCCGGGTGAAAGCCCAAATATGACGGTCTTGGAATTGTTTGGATCTGCCTGAGCACCCGCTGCAATGGCCCATCGTTGCTGCAAGGCTCTGGGTTCGGGCGCACTGGCTTGACAGCGGCTTTGTCTGCAGAAGAAAAGGATATATAAGGATCACATCCTGTTACCCTTTCCGACTACGGCAGGCGCTTACGCAAGTTTCGAATGCACTTCGATCCAAAAAATTTGTGAAATTTATTAAAAAATCCCAACTTTAGAGTCTTTGTAGACATATTTGACTTATAATATTTGTTAAACAGAAAATTTGGAAATATTTAACAAAAAATTTTGTTTTGTTATGCTGCTAGTTTTGCTAGTTTCGTTCTGGAGGCGAATAGTCTACTGAACTTGTAAGCTGAAACTGACAGCACATTCAATGCCAACGTCTCGAAATGGATTTTCGATTTTTTGTTTGCTGTTTCCTGTGCCCAGAGTCCGAAGCAAAGGAAAGATATTTGACAGATATTACGTAGATTAATTTCGGTTTATTTCATGGGTGTTTTTTCTTTTTGGTTTTCTTTTCTTTTGCATTTTGTTTGTGGGTGAGAGTTGGTGGTGTGGGTGTGGGTGTGGGTGTGGGTGTGGGGGTCGAGTAATTTCATCTGCTGATGAACAAGTTACATACATTTGACATACGGATAGTACATAATGATGGATGGTTCTGGATTGCTCTGGAGTATTGTAAATATGTATGCATGTATGTGTTGGTTGGTGGTGTAATTGTGTGTTCCTTTGTGCATATCGTTCCCCC